GACGGTGCTCCGGCGCAGCTGGGCCCGGTCAACACTGTCCCCTGCTCGGTCTTTCTCGGATACAACGCATGTCGCTCCACAGCCGCTTTGTGCTACCCCTGTGCACACCTTCCCGCGATCACGATTCACGCTCCCACTGCGACCTGAAAAGTATGTGGAAAGCCGGGAAAGCGCAGTCCATGGCAAATCCATGGCGTGCGTGTGACCCTTGGTGTGACGCCATGTAGCTTCTACTAGTAGTCTTACAGTACGCTTTTTGACTGCTTATCACGCCTCACTGCGATCCTATGCGTTCCAGTTTTATTCTTCAGGTGCGCTCGTGCAATGCGCTCCCAGCTGCGCTCTGTACGCTCTCAGGCACTTCTTACTAGTGCTCTCAATACGTTTGCAACTCGCTCACTGCGCGCGTGCCGCAGTTGATTAATTTTGCAGGTTGGACGTCTGTACTTTTATGTTTGCGAATTGGTGATTTTTTTGTTTATAGTTTAAGTTAATATAACTTATTTAAGACACTTTAAGAAGATTACAAGCAAGGCATTATTGCATAAAGAGAAAAACAGAACAACACTCAATTTTTATTTTTACTATTACCATATTTATTTTCAAACATACAAATATTGTGTACTGTGTTACTTGTGAACTTTTGAATATGTCTTTTTTGCACCCGACTTTTTATATATGCTATTCTTCGCCACGGGGCACAGGCCTGCAGTGTGAATTGAAGTACAGGCTGAGGTATTCTCGTTGTTCTTGGCTGCAGTTGGTGTAACGGGTTGTTCCCTCTAATGTTGTTCAGCTCATGCATGTTTGCATCAGCCCTCAAGCACCTGGGTGCTAGCAGTTGGTGGTTGACAGTGCTCCGGCATCCAAGCAGCATTCTGAATGGTTAGGTAATGCAGTCTCATCAAATTATGAAGACAGACGCAGGCCTCGACGTCAGTCGTTATTGGTGATCAGGTTCGATGCCTCTGCATGGTGGTCAGAGAGAATCTGCCAACCGTTGCGGCAAGGGATGCCAAAGGGCGTTCTCCAACAACCGCGAAGCCCTCTAGATATCCTGTAGTTGGTAGATCCTTCTTGCTCTTTGGTCACTTCTTGCCGCATCGTGAGTTAAGGCTTCATCATGTGCGGTCCGCTCGCTCGAACGCATCATCAGCAGGAAGAAAGGATGATGTCCCTGTCGTCATTTGGGGTAGGGGGTCTGCTGGAGGAAGACAAATGGTCCCATCTATAGCCCACTAATTCAGCTGCTGAATCATTGGAAAGATCTGCTGCATCTTGACATGTGTCCGTGCCCTCCAAACATCTACCAGAGAGGAACTTATTTAGTCCGATCGGACGAGGCCCATGTAAACAATGGAAAAGAAGCTTGTATAAGTTGTGATAAAGGCTTCCACTGTTCGCTGTGGCTTTCGAGGCAACATGTTTTCCATCAAGGGCTCCACAGGCATGAGGACCGTTCCATCTTACGTGCAACATTTCAGCAAGAGCGGGCACGCCCTTCTTCAGGGAGTTGCGACAGCTGCGATGACTTCCTTCCTTGTACTCATCGACGATGGCCCTGGCAGACTTCTCCGTACTAGGACAGACGTGCGTGTTATGATGAATCTTGAAGTCACAACTATACTGGCGTACTTGTTCACAGTTGCTAGGGGCGCATAGTAATTGCAATCATTCAACCCTGGCGCTTCTCATATGCTTCCTATACGCAGGGTGTTCTTGTTTTGTGCTATCTTGCGCACCAAGTCTTGCTAGGAGCTCCCCATGCAAACATCTTTGGTTGTACGTCTCAGCGAATTAAAGAAGGATGCCAGGATCTTCGTGTCGTGAGGTTCGGCATTAGGCCACTGATAGTGGTTCTCTCAACAGTGCATCTCCTCTCCCTTCTTTTTCTCGTCTTTCTTCTCCTTTCCTATAATGTTGACAAGGGCCTGGTCATGCTTGTTGCCTGCATATGTGCACTGAACTGTAGTTACAATTTAGCCACATTCTGCCTTGTCTGCGCGCCATGGTGAAGAGCAGCCCTGAATGCACAGCTGATTGTGTATAGAAGATGAACGCTGTATTTATCACGAAAAAATGCCCGGTCTGCCGCGCCGCAGGGCTCCCCGGAGATTGTCTGGCTACCATCACTGTTGTGGTGTGGGGGCGGGGGGTCAGTGGAAGTGGGTATCGTAATAGAACGCTCTGTGAGCCTATTGCCAAACGTGCGGGAACAACGCCTTGGGACGTATTGACGAAGCCGTCGCTATTCTCCAGTGGCCAGGCGCAGTGTAGACGTAGAAGGAGCGGGAACAAGCCAGAAGCCGTGCTGGTAAAGCGCTAGATACGGCCGCAAATAAGAAGCGGGAGAGGCACGCGTATGGCAGAGCAATGATCATACAGCGTCGCCCAAACCGAGTCGCAGGGGACGTTTCTGCGACCCATAGTCGCTCTATGCGGTTGTTGCCTACGCCACGATACGCTCATGTAGTTCGATTTGCGCTTGCCACGGACTGTACTGCGTCATTACACCGCTCCATTACAGAGCGCCGACCGCCTGCGCTTGTTTTGATCCGGCGACCAACACATAGCGCCGAGGTTTGGCCGCTCAAGGTAGCTCATGTCGACCCTTTTTCCGTCCGTTGACAGTTTCCCTGCGTCTCAACCTAATTTACCAAAATTCGTTCTCAGAGACCTTACTGCGCTTTTCTTCGTGCTTTCATTACTTTTCAGTCGTAGTGGGATGTGCGAAGTGATCGGGGAAGCGGCTTGTGACAGGGGGCTATTATATACGCACCGAAACGCGCATTACATAACAACAGAGGACGCATAAGTGCATACGCTGCATCTCTCGCGCTCTTCCGGTTGCATCGTTCCGATGTTCCCGAATGTTTAGACATGGATAAGTCGATGTCTGTACCTTGATAAAATGGGTGCTAATTTCTCTCACGGTCAGTTAGATAGTGTAGCCATATATTTCACGTGTTGAATGATGGGATCGGGGGTACGGCGAGTGGTATAATATCATAATTGGCAGTTACAATAGTTACACAAATTACACTATGCATAATTTCCGTCATTAATTGTCCGGTTTACAACATATAGTGTATGTCTGGATTTTGTAACGATTTCAAGTAACTGGCTGACATATTACAAGACAATTTATCAATGTGTGAATGCAGGGGCAGAATAGCATGTGGTCACAAGTTCTTGTCATATGGGTTGATTTTACAATGGTCAATTGCTACATGTTATAGTGCGGCATTGGGTTATGGGTAACAATTAAAGTAACGGTTGACAAAGAGAGAACGCGACTTATAACAAATATAAGTGGCATAATTCACCATGTCACAATTTATGTTGCTGCACGAGGCGAGAGAGATAGTCACGCACGCGGACACACGAGCAATATCCAACGTAGGAACGGGGATATGCCTTTGCCTTACTCTCAGGTGCACACTCTAGATTTGTGTGTAAGTCTGCAGTGCCGGGCCAGGCCAGCGTGCGCACGGTCAAATTATCTCATTTCTATGCTTTTATAGGCGTCTATAAGACATTTCTACATATAGTGTATATAGATGCAAATTAGTGTACTTTAGTGCCGAGTATTACAATACAACAGAAAATATCCGAAAATAGTGCCTTTGTTCAGACGAAATAACAATTTGGCGAAAATGGCTACTGTTGTCCGTGCCTCCGAATATGATATATCTATGACGTACATGGGTTTTTTGATTGTTACTCGCACTGAGTATAGTGTATAAATATTTACTGCTTACTACGTATATTATAGTGTGACGCGTAAAATCAGGTTCTACTACTACGTCACTACTATATGTGTGGCCGCTGGCAAATCAGTGTAGTGACGCTAAACGAATTTTGTAGTGCAATTTTTGTTTGAAATATACATTTATAAATCAAGTAGGCGCGGGACTTTCTTTGTAAGTGATGTTAAAAAATGTCGGATTTCAGATCATTCATTATGAGTTCAGCTACTTCCCGTCGCGTATCTTTCCCGTTATAGACCTGATTCGATTCTGGATATACAGTGCTAATAGCTGGTTCAATAACAAGTTACTTCTCCATAGGATGATGAATATTTCATCGGAGTCTCTATTAGTTTGCAATGCTAGATAAAGTTTAGGTTCAGTTAGATTTCCAAATTAAGTGACTTTAGTTTTTTCTATTATTTATTGCCAACTTTTAACCCTCTTTCAGACTTACATTCCGTTATGTGGGAAAAAAGGGCCTGGCTGAGTCCAATTTAACTTAAGGATGCAAACTCAAAAGATTCCGGTAGCCATAGTCTATTATTGAGGCTAATTTAGTAACTTTGCTAGTTAGTTTTTGACTATAAAACCATTACATATGTTGGAAAGCGTGAGCTATTTTACATTGCGAAATAGATTAATTAAAAAAGAATTTTCGAGTATTTCAATCTACCCCCCCCTACCTGTGAAAGCTGAAGCTTTTTTTGAACACAAATTGATAAAATTATTTTTCACTTTAAATTAAAAAAAAAAATTTAAACAGGGTTGTTATGTGTAATTTTTTTGCATTTTTTAGAAAGTCATATGCATTCATTTACTATTTCAAGGCTTTTTGAAAACCTAAAACTATGGTACAACAGTAGGATTATGGTTTTATATACAAAACAGAGTTAGTTAATCTCACGAAAAAAATTTCAAAAAATTGGCTTTGAATGGGATACTGTGTCCTTAAAACGGGTTATGAATGACATGTTAGAAAAACAACAGATAGTAGAACAGATTGAGCATGAGCATACATACATACATAGTCGATTATTTTACAATTTATCTCTTTTTCCGTAGCCGTACAGCAGCTCCTTGTTTGGTGGATCATCGAACTCAATAATTCTTCTCTAATGATAATTTCCAAAAGGCAAGGATAGGCAGCATTTCTTTGTTTTTGCAAACACGTGCAACTGAGAAGGGTTGTCACTCTGTTTGTATGCACTTTACACATGATTGACCGCCAGTTTCTAGTTTTTGCGGTGCATGGCTGTAGTTCTCTTGAAATCGAATGTTCTCCTTGTTGGCGACAGAGGAAAAAGGTCGACCCTTCTTTTTTATGAAGCTTCGTCCAGCAACAAGACCATCGATGACCTCAGTTGTGAAATTTTTCTGGTCTATTTTATTTCCAGGGTTCAGTTCCTTGTATATGATGAAGGCCTGCACAACTGACAACCGCAAAAAATGGTAAAAGATTTGCAGGTACCATGTAAGAGACTTCATGTGTCGGCGATAAGTCGAAACACGCTGGTCTGACAGATCAACTCCGCCCATGTATGTGTTGTATGTGTTTATAGCCACAGGCTTCTTGATGGCAAATTCTCTCACTCCATCTTTAGTTTTCTCGCGTCTCTGCACTTCTGTGTCGCCTAATACTTGCGGACCTGGAAGATTTGTGAGCAGATTCACCACACGACTATCTTTCCATGTCACAGCAGCCATGCGACCTTGCATCAGCGTAATGCTTTCTCCTCGCTTCAGTTTTTTTACAGCAGGTGCAGTCTTCTTCATTTTTTCAGCTGGCAGTCCTTTTCTGTTACTTCTCACTGTTCCACATGACAGCGTACCCTCCTGCTCAAGACGTTTCATCAGTTCAACGCTGGTGTAATAATTGTCCATGAACAAATGATGTCCGCGACGTAGGTATGGTTCGAGGACATCCATTACCGTTTGTGTTGTTTTCGACACGTCGGTATCAGCTCTCTTGCCAGCATACGGGATGACATTGAGCACGTATCCCGTTTTTGACTCGGCAAGAGTAAAGAGCTTTATGCCCCATTTCGTTGGTTTGTTTTGAATGTACTGCTTTATTTTCAACCGGCCCTTGAATTTTATCATTGTCTCATCAATAGCAATTTGACATCTGGGACGGTAGACACGTTGAAAGCGACGGGTGAGGTACGTAATTAGAGGCTGAATTTTCCATAATTTATAATTTTTGTCGATAGTAGGGTCTCGGTTATCTACAAAGTGTATGTAGCGAAGAATCGTAAGAAACCTCCTGCTCGACATCGTAGTGGCAAATCCAGGGGTTTGAAGCAACCAGTGTTTTGTCCAGTACTCAGCGGTTCTGCCTTTTTTCTCAACAATGCCCATTGCTAACAAAAGACCAAGCCAGCTTTTCAATTCAGGAAGAGTAATTTTATCCCAAGCCACTTTGTTGTTGCCGTCCTCTCTACACTGATCAGCATACAAATTAGTCTGAGTTACAATATCCTGTAGGATGTAGTCAGTGAAAAAATTGCAAAAAAGCTGAATCGGAGACAACAGCTGAGGGTCTGTTGGTCCTACTGTGGCTTGATCAAAGTTC